GAGCTGCTGCATTGTAAATTTTGGTCAATGTCATGAGACAAAGTATATGTGAACTGCTGTATGAAAAGTGAATTTACTCTGTAAATCTTAACCCAACTCCTAATTAAAAAAAAAAAAAAAAAAAAGGATTAGCAGGTGGTTTGAAAAGTCACCTGAAGTTGGAGACGATGTTATAATAATGTAAGCCTGTATATATCTATAAATTTTTTTTTTTTAATTAAAACTAAAGAATGGAAGAGATGAATTACAGTATTGATCTTTGTTTGAGGGATTTGTTGAATGGTGTGATGAAAAGATAGTAGTGGAAGGGAATATGAGAATTGATGAACTTCCATAGGAAAAAGTCAGAAGAGTTCTGGAAGAAAATAGAAGGACCAGAGGTTTATTTATGAACTTGAATAGATAAGTTGGGAATGAATTACTCAGAGATCAAGAACAATGGGTATTTTGGTGAAGTTGAGTTGTTAGGTGATGTCAAGTTAGCACCAATTCATAGCGACTCTGCGTACAGCAAAATGAAGCACTGCCTGGTCATGTGTCATCCTCAAAATTCTTGCTATGCTTGAGCCTGTCGTTGCAGCCACTTTGTCAGTCCGTCTCCTTGAAGGTGTTTCCCTCTTTCAATCACCCTCTATTTACTAAGCATGATATCCTTCTCCAGGGACTGGTCCCATTTGACAATATGACCACAGTAGGTCAGACAAAGTCTGGCCATCCTCACTTCTAAGGAGCATTCTAGCTGCAGTTCTTCCAGGGCAGATATGTTCATTCTTCTTGCAGTCTGTAGTATCTTAAGTATTCTTTGCCAACACCACAATTCAAAGGCATCAACTCTTCTTCGGTCTTCCTTATTCATTGACTAGCTTTCACATGCATATGAGACTATTGAAAATACCCGGAATGCTCCTTGGCTAAACTTTGTGTCACCTACTTTGGTCATGTTGTCAGTAGGGACCGTTCCCAGGAGAAGGGTATCATGCTTGGTAAAGTGGAGTGTCAATGAAAAAGTGAAGGCCCTCAATGAGATGAATTGACACAGTGGCTGCAATAATAGGCTCAGGTATAGCAAGGATTGTGAGGCTGGCACAGGACCAGGCAATGTTTTGTTCTGTTGTACATAAGGTCACTACGAGTCTGAGCTGACTCAATGGCATCTGTGTTAGACTGGGTTCTCTAGAGAAACAAAACCAGTGAAGCTTATAGAGAGAGAGAGAGAGAGAGAACTTTATCTTAGGAAAACAGCTCTCGCACTTACAGAAGCTGGCAAGTCCCAAGTTCTTGGATCAAACGTCAAGCTGGAGGCTTTTTCCAACTCACGCAGCTGCAAAGGCCTGAGGAGCTCAAGGTTGGCAGGCAGTACACTGGCTGTTGACTCCAATGAATGACAAATCCAAAATCTCCAGGACGAATGGTGGATTATTTGCTCACAGACAATTGTAGGCCAAATCCTGATCCACAGAAGATTGTCTCTTTTCCCAGGATGTCAATATTATACTGGAAGTAGGCCACACCCCTAGAGAAACTCCCTTTCAGTGGATTGGCTGCTCAAGATATATACATATGATCCCATCATTGGAAAAACCCACATCACAATTGCTTAAACCACAGAGAATTGTAGTCCAGCCAAGTTGACACACAGCTCCAACTATTACAGCACCTGACAACAATAACAACATGGCTTGAGTTGGGAGCACTTTAGTCTTCAAATCAATATCTTTGCTCCTTAACACTTTAAAGAGGTCTTTTGTAACAAATCTTCCCAGTGCAATACAACAGCTGATTTCTTGACTGCTCCTTTCATGGTTGGTGATTATGGTCCGAGTAAAATAAAATCCCTGACAATTTGAATCTTTTCCCCATTTATCGTGATGTTGCTTATTGGTCTAGTAGTGAGGATTTTTGTTTTCTTTATGTTGAGATGTAATTCCTACTGAAGACTGCACTCTTTGATCTTCATCAGTAAGTGCTTCATGTCATCTTCACTTTTATCAAGCAAAATTATGTCACCTGCATATCACCGGTTGTTAATGAGTCTTCCTCCAATCCTGATGCCACGTTCTTCTTCAAATAGTGCAGCCTCTTGGATTATTTGCTCAGCATGCAGGTTAAATAGGTATGGCGAAAGGATCCAACCCAGATGCACAACCTTTCCTGATGTTTAACAATTCAGTATCTCCTTCTTCTGTTCAAACGTCTTTGTCTATGTAAAGATTCCTTACGAGCACACTTAACTGTTCTAGAATTCCCATTCCTTACAATGTTATCCATAATTTGTTAGGATCTGCACAGTCGAATGTCTTTAAATAGTCAATGAAACACAGGTAAACATCTTTCTGGTATTCTTTGCTTTCAGCCAAGATCCACTTGGCATCAGCAGTGATATCCTTTGTTCCATGTTGTCTTCTGAATCCAACTTGCATATCTCAAAGTTCCCTGTCAGTATCCACTTCAACCATTTTTAAATTATCACAGAAGTGAAATTTTGCTGCAGATAATTTAAAAATTAAAAACATCAGAAAAGATTGTGCATCTTGGTTGGATCCTTTCACCATACGTATTTAATCTGCATGCTGAGCAAATAATCCAAGAAGCTACACTATTTGAAGAAGAACATGGCATCAGAATTGGAGGAAGACTCATTAACCATTGTGTTCAGATTCATTTTTGACAACTTCTAATTTTCGTAAAATTATCCTTTGTACGTTTGGTGTTCTGAATATTAATGTTTGCGGCTGTTTCTTCGCATTTTGAGTTGTGCCCTATCAGCATATGAAGACCCTAAAAGCTTTACTCCATCAGTATCATTAAAATTGACTCTACTTTGAGGAGGC